AACAACAACAACAATATGCCAGAATTAGGGGTTGAAGAGATATATTTTTGGTGGAAAGTACTGGTTTCTTTAAGGTAAGTCTTTTTGCTTGGTGATGTAGAAAGAGACGAATAGACGGGATGGTTTGCAACAGCACACAGTGCTAATCTTGATGTTGCAGGGAGTTTATATTCAGTAATGAAAGAGAGAAATCTGGGCTTTTTCCTAAGCAGAAGGGAGAATGAGTTTGAAGTAAGTTTGATGATGTTATTCTGGGTAAAAAGTTTGGCATATGAGTTAGGTTGAGGTGATGTAAGTTCTTTAATGCTTTTATTTTTTGGTAGTTGTGGAATATGAATATGTTGGTTAGAAAGGAAGATGGGGTTGCATAGGAAAATTTTTCAAGGAGGGAAAGATTGTCTAAACAGACGGGGGTGGGTAGGGGTGGTTTGTGACATAGGTATGTGGTCTAGGACAATAGGCCTAATAATTGGGAGTGGGAGGAAGTTTTGGGGAAAGGAGTTGATGGCTTTTTTTGAAAATATGTAATGTTTTGAAGGTCATATCTGGAGCATTTGACTGAGAGGGCTTCTAGTAGAGAAATATGCCCTGTTTTGTATACAAAGTGAAATAGGACAACTCTGGTTGAGATCTAGTTTTGAATTGGGCCAGGGGTAATAATCTAATCTGTAGTGAATGGTAGGGATGCACACCCAGCAGGAGGACCACCATGGGTTCACTTGGAAATTACAGAAAAGATGATGAGGAATGGAGATCTCATATGTAGGAAAAGAATTGGGAGAAAGTATAAAAAGATAGTTGGTCAAGGTTAAAATCTTGGAGGGACCCTTGTAGCCAGAGATTAATGGTATAGGAGAGCAACTGATCTACAGAGTGTGGGGGTTTCTGGGTCCTCTTAAGGTTTATTATGTAGATGCCATCACTTTTCCTTTGGTAGATGGACTATTCCATTTGGAAGTTAAGGTTGGTGCCACCCAAATGTGTTCCTGCTGCAAGGAATTTAAAGACATCCTCATCCTTCATCTGCAGGACATCAAGGGCTCCAGACATTGTGGAAGTTTCCCCTTTTAAGATAGGACGGGAACCAGAACAATGCCACCATATGGACCCTTGTGTGGGTAGAATGGAAAAAAAGCTCATATGTGCCTTTTATTTGGTTTCATGCTGTCCATGTTCATAATGATCAACATATGTAAGTAATAATTTTATTCAATAAATTAATCAAGGCATATAATCTTGGATTTTCCATTGCGGGAGAATAATATCTGAACCTGAAATTGTTTGGTTACGTATGTGTTTGAACTTTTTCATTCTCATGTGATGTCCTTCTGCCAGTTTAGGTAGAAGTTGATGCTCAATTTCCCATCTTTCATCAGTTTTGAGTTCCAGTAAGACTGAAAGTCATAGTAACTGTATTTAAGAAAGAAACGACAATCACTTCAGGTAATTGAGCCTTGTCATGAAAACTAAACATATCACAGAGGCCTTGGCTAGGTTCATGATGACAGTGGACCTTATTTGAGCATAATGATTAAAAAAACTGAGCTTAAAATGACACTGAAATCCAGTCAGTATGCCTCAGGTCATGTTATTTTCATCATGGCTTAATGTGGGACAACTTTGAAATATGAAAATTTTACTTTTTTGCTTTTAATACTCTATATTAATAAATATGCTTTCCCCCACCATAACATGCTACTGAAAGCAAAACAGAAACCCTTCTGTGGATCCCAGAAGGCACACCTGTGACATGGAAGGAAATATGGACGTGCCCCTCACCAGATTGTGAATATCATCTCTTGGATCAAAAACTGAGTACCAGAGCTATGGAGTTTATAGTGGTGTGCAGGAAGGAAATGAAATGAATATTTTGGACTATATAGAAGGCGATGAGTATGGTAAGTTTCTTCACGTGGATGCTATTTGATTTGGGGGACAGTTAAGTTTTTATGTGTGTTTTCTTTAGTTAATGTTGCTAATTAACTAGTATAGAATCTGCTGCTGCACTCAAGATTTTTTTTTCACTCAAGATTTTTAAGAAATACTAAATGAGTGAATGTGACAGTATTCCTAAAGTCTTAAGTACTTTAGAAGTACCTGCTTATTGTGAACTCTCTGAATTCTACCATGTCTCATCTCTGATTGCACACCCTAATGTGGCTGTTCATTTCCTGAGAGTTAAAGGCCAAATGATTTTTGTTTCTGTCTGAATTTGTTGCAGTGACGCTGAGTACTTTGTTGCTGTTGTTGTTATGTGCCGTCAAGTCGCTTGTGACTCATAGCGACCCTATGTACAACAGCCCTAAACTCTGCTCTCTCCAGTGCCAATCGCACCATCTCTGACACACCCATTCTAATTACCCCAGTCACTGAATCAATATACTTCATAGAGGGTCTTTCCCTCCTGCGCTGTCCCTCCACCCTCCCAAGCATGATGTGCCCCACCAAGGACTGGTTCCTCCTTACAACATGTCCAAAGTATGTCAGATGAAGCCTCAAAATCCTTGCCTCCAAGGAGCAGCCCAGTTTAACCCTCTCCAGGATGAATCTGTTTGTTTTCTTAGCAGTCCATGGTATCCTCAATACTCTTCTCCAGCACCGCAAATCAAAGGCATCAATTTTCCTTCTGTCCTGAGAACCTTACATTTTTAGTAATAATTTACAATGTGTTTATGGGGATGAGTTTAGTCATTTTTTTTGTAAATTTGAAAAATACTCACCAATTCCTTACTTCCTGGAAGTACAGTTCAGTGGAGGTGGTTAGTGTCTTTCAGTTGTGCAACTTTTCTCTGTTCATTTCCCAAATTGCCTCATCATTGTTAGCATAGACTCATTGTCCTCTGGGCTTCATATCAACCTGAAGATTGCTCTTAGGAATTTCATTACAGAAAGATAACTCTTTCAAGAGTACACTACTCAAGGCAAGCATTCAAGTAAATGATGGATGGTTTAGTGATTGCTTCAGGGGACACTTTTGTCTTATGGTGTGAAGATTTTCTCAGCATAGCTTTGACATAAGATTTAATAATTCCCTAGGCCTCAATGGCTGTAAAAATCCTGGACTTCGTGGGTATTTTAAATTTTGTTTATATCTTCTCCTCCTCTTCTCATCTGGATTTGTTTATAGAAGCTTTGATTGAAATATTCTGTCATTCTTGGAAGTAGAGTAGTTGTTCATGGATGCAATTAGCCTTGCATTTCTTTTTTTTTTTTTTTTATAGATTTTATAAATTTATCAAACCCTTGTGTCGAGGGCTGACTTTCAATAGATCGCAGCGAGGGAGCTGCTCTGCTACGTATGAAACCCCGACCCAGAAGCAGGTCGTCTGTGAATGGTTTAGCACCAGGCTCCCCACGAACGTGCGGTGCGTGACAGGCGAGGGGGCGGCCGCCTTTCCGGCCGCTCCCCGTGTTCCCGGGACAGAGGGCGCTCCGCACCGGACCCGGTCCCAACGCGCGGCCGGGCCGCGCCACACCGCGACGGGCCCGCCGGCGGGGGACCAGCTCTCCGAGGCCGACAGAGGCTCCGCGACGCTGCCGTATCCCTCCTGGGCGGGATTCTGACTTAGAGGCGTTCAGTCATAATCCCACAGATGGTAGCTTCGCCCCATTGGCTCCTCAGCAGCCTTGCATTTCTTCTCCTTCCTCTCCTGTTTTAGGCGATTGAGACCAACTATATCTTGAGTAACTGTTAGTAATCTTTAGACCCCAGGCACCAGGTAAGAAACATAAAGTACAATTAAAAAGCTACAGCTGCCGAATAGTAGCACCTAAGGCTGATAGCCAGAAGTCCATGTTTCTCTGGTGGTTTGAATCCACCAGCGGTTCCTCGGGAGAAAGATAAGAGATCTCTCTCCCCTTGTGTGATTATAGCCTCCAAAAGCCCAGTGGACGGGCAACCATGAGTAGTTTTTTACTAGACAGCAGTGACTTTTAACTTTGATTCACTTATTACTCATAGTGATCCTCCACAAAGTTGTTAATCTTAAAACTTGTAAATCAGGTTGTTAGACCTTAAAACATCTAAAAATCTTAAACGGAAGCCTCATCTTCTTTCCCACAAAACAGCTGATGGGTTTGAACAACTGACCTTTTCATTAGAATGCACTTCATTAGTGGAGCTCATTATAAGCTAGACTGTTGTTATTGTTAATTGCCTTCGAGTCGAGTATGACTCATAGCAACCCTGTGAACAAAAGGCCTGAAGCCCCTCTACAACTATCGACATCTGTTAAAGTTCATAGAGTTTCCAGAGGCATGTTGTTTAGGAAGTGGATGCCACTCCTGCTTCCAAACCTGTCATCATATGTTATTGTTCTTATGTGCCATTGAGTCACCTGTAATGTATAGTGACCCTATGAACAGCAGCTCTGAACCCTTCCCTGTCCTGAACCAGTCTCACTAATTCTGACACACCAACCTCCATTGCCCCAGTTACTGTATCAATCCATCTCATCTGGGGGTCTTCCTCTCCTGTGCTGTTCGTCCATGCATCAGAGCACTGTGTCCTTCTCCAAGGACCCTTCTCTCCTGGCCATGTGCCCAAAGTAAGTGGGGTAGACCTTCAAAATCCTAGCCTCCAAGGAGAAACTTGGTTTCACCCTCTCCAAGACAGCCCGATTTGTTTTCCTAATAGTCTATGGAATGTTCAAGACTCTTCTCCAGCACTACAACTCTGTCATTCTTAATCATGTCCTACTCTCTGAAGCATAACAAGTAATTGAGAATACCATGGCCTAGATTAGGCACATCTTTGCTCTTCAGCACCCTGGAGAGGTACATGACAGCAGATTTTCCTAAAGCAATTTGGCTTTTGATTTCCAGACTGGTGGTGCTAAGAGTGTTGATTGTGGATCTGAGCAAGCTGTAATTGCTAACATTCTCAGTCTCTTCTCCATCTATTATGGTGCTTCCAATTGGCCCAGTGGTGAAAGTCTTTGTCTTCTTGATGTTGAGCTTCAACCCATATTGAAGACTAGAGTCCTTGACCTTTTACAGCAAGTGCTTAAGGTTTTCTTCAGTTTCAGCAAGCAAGTATGTGTCATCTGCATATCATAGCTTAATGAGTCTTCCTCCAATGTTGATGCCACACTCTTCCTCATAAAGCCCTGCTTCCTGAATGATCTGTTCTGCATATAGATTGAAAAGGTACGGGGCAGGATGCATCCCTGACCCACTCCTTTCCTGATTTGAACCATGCGGTGTTTCCTTACTCTGTTCTGAGTACTGCATCTTGGTTCAAGTATAGGTTTCATATAAGCATAATCAAGTGTTCTGAGAGTCTCATTTTCCTCAAGGTTAGCAACAATTTATTGTGATCCACATAGTCAAATGCTTTTGCATAGTCAATGAAACATGGATAGACATTCTTCTTATACTCTCTGCTTTCCCTCATGCCATGAACTCTTCTAAACCCAGCTTGTATTTCTGGCAGTTCTCTGTCAATGTACTGTTCAAATTTCTTCTTGATAATCTTCAGCAGGATTTTGCTAGTGTGTGATATTAGTGATATTGTGCAATAATTTCCACACTCTTGTCAGGTCACCTTTTTTTGAAATGAGAATAAATATCTATCTCTTCCAGTCAGTTGGCCAAGTAGTTGTCCTCTGGATTTCTTGGCACAACTTCAGAGAAAAATTTTTGACAAGCTAGACTAGAAGTAGCGAAATCAATAATAGGCCAATTAACTAGAATTTCCTCAAGGAACGTAACTATAAACTTCCATACCAAGACAGCAAAACTCAGGTGGACAATAGCTTCTCTCCTTTTTTGTTATTGTTCTAAATTCAGCCTTTTTCCTGTGTGATATTAGTTACCTTAGACATGTTTTGCAACACAGCAACCATTTTTTTAATGCATCTACCTTTGATGTTAGGGAGCTCTAATGGCCTAGTGGTAAGAAGCTGTGTTGCAGTCCTGAAGGCACGCAGTTTAAATCCACCATCTGCTCCATTAGAGGATGGGCAGTCTCCTCCTATGTGATGAATTGCTTCTGAAAACCCACTAGAGGGCCAGCTATTGGTTCCAACTCAATGTTACATGACAGCAAACAACAACCACCTTTTTTGGTACATTTATTTATTTTTAAAATGGTTTATTTTTATTTCATACTTCTTATTAACAACAACATTTAATGTTAGATTTTCCATCATTGTATTACTTCCAAACAGTTATATTCCCTCAATCTTAATTAAAAAAAATTATTTTCAATATCTATTGCACTTTATTACAGATCTGGTAGAACAGGGGGATTTCCCTCAAAAAACCCACCTCCCAGTCTGGGAGTGATCATTAGGGTTTATACTTTGGTTAGATACTAATTTACTTAACAATATACTTTTGTTAGTAAAGTTACAGAGTTTCTACATTTAAAAAGAACAGTTTACTAGTAAGCAGACAACTTAAGAAATAGTTAACATATGACTGAGGAACAACAGTTTTGAAAAGGCGAATGTTAATCCAGGAAAGATGCATTGCCCTTCCTGGTAAACAGTTTTATAGAGATGAATAGGTTATACTTTATGTTTCAGAGACAATTTCTTTCCTCTTTAATGTCTATAAGGTTATTTTGGGAGCTCTGGTGGTGTACTCCATAGGGAACTGCACTGTCTACTCTAAGGTGCTGTCTTTCTGATGGGTGGAGTCCACCAAGGCTCAGCAGGAGAAAGGTGGACAGTTCTTTCCTCTGCTATTTATAACTTCTGAAAGCCCATCAGATTGCCCACTGTGAACTGATTCTGACTTGATGGTAAAGAGTTTAAGAGTTTTGTTTGTCTAAGTTATACAGAATTTTTCTGTTTCTTTGATTAACTTACCCTGTTTGGTCAGCCTTCTCATTACTCCTGTTAATTTACATTTTCTGCCCACTCACTCTCCCTCCAGATGTTCTTACCTTGAAGAAAATGTTGAACACTTTTTTTGAGGAACAGGTAGATTGCAGCCCAGATCCTCTACAACTAAGACACTGCAAAACAATGGTAATCCCAGAACCCAGATTTCAAAGGAAATGGTAAAGAAGTAGTTCAGTCACCAACTGAAAGAAAAAAAACTGATTAAAAACATTGAGTAAGATGGAAAATCAACTCGATACAACATAGCCATTTAGAACTCTTGCAAGCAACTTCATGATTGGTGTAGGAATTCAGAACTGTAGCAGGATCTGCATCAGCGTGGGCCCTGCCTGGTATTCTCAGCCTTCTCTCGGTGGACTAGAATCCATTCCCTTACTCAGAACCCAAAGTCCAGCAATGTGGTGGGCCAGTGGAAATACCAGCCCAATCAAGTGTCTTGTGTCCAGCACCACACCAGTGGCAGAGGATTTCAGTCAGGGGCCCAGCACCTCTCCACCTTCCCCAGGGATTCTCCTTCTTCCCCCCATCCCCCTATCTTTATGGTGCTTTTTATACTTTTTCTTTTTAGCTTTTCTTTACTTTTCTTTCTTTGTCTTTCTCTTTTTATCTTGATTCTTGAAAAATAGACTTCAAAACAAAAACCAGCCTAAGAGACAAGGAAAGGAAATAGGATTAAAGGTTAACCTGAGATAATATAGTCATGGTGGATGTCTACACAAGTAATCCCAACATACATTAATCAAATTTTAACATACACCCTTAGAGAAATAGCCCACTGCCGCAGTCCCAGTGTCATTCCACCTAGTTGAGGTCTCCGCCGTGCCTCCACCTTTCCAAGCATAATGTCCCTCTCCAAGGCATAACCTCTTCTAGATCTTGTAGACCTAGAGAAAACACTCTATCTAGCAGGATCACAGTATAGATTTTTTTTTCACAGTATAGATTTTTGTCTAATGCACATGGACCATTCTCCAGAACAGACCCTATGTTAGTCCACAAAGCAAATCTCAATAAATTAAAAAAAAACAAAACCAAAAAACAAACCATTGAAATACTGCAAAACATCATCTCTGGTCAAATGCTGTAAAATTTGAAACCAGCAACAGAAAGAAAAGGGGACAAAAACCCAAATACAGCATAAGGGCATGGAAACCCTGCTTGAGCACCTTTCTTGTCTTCCTCTCTCTCTCATTGTCCTTGACTTGGAACTTGGGTGTAGCTGACTCTTCACTGGGTTTCAAAAACTGCAAATGGTGTGGAGCGAGGTTGCTCATCTTTTTCCTGAGGAGCCTAGGTAGATTTGGAGCACCAAAGAGGCTTGGCTTTTGGATTTGCAGTGCAACTCCCTATGCCAGTGTTATGCCCTAAATCCAATCGTTTCCGGCCCCCACCCCCCACCCCGTCGCCAAGGAGCCGACACTGATACAAGAGCAAGAGTGAATTTATTTCTGATTTGAACCTGCACCGCATGTCAGACCGCACCAATAAAGCGGGCAAGATGGTGGCCCCAAGTCCAGGGCATTGAGCCTATTTGAAGGAGAAAGACCTGGAAAACAGGTGTTACAGGATTGGCTGATGCAAAGGAAAAGAGTGTGAAAACCGGGTGAGGAAAAGGGAACTACAGGAGCGTCGGGGCCTTTTCAGCTGTCTTTTGATTGGCTCCTGTTCGGGCGGGGGTTTTACGGCCCTGCTTTTCAGTCTATGGTTTTTCCTGGAACTGGCTAGCAGCCTATACACTTTAAAATGGTGTACAGGTTACAAAGTGGAGTCTCTTTGGTCTCTCACCACCTTAGCTTCCTAGTGAGTTTCAGAAGAAATAAAACATGAAATTAA